TTAAAAAGAGTTTATTCGCATGCTTGTAAATCCAGTCGTCGCTCCATCGAGAAATTCCTTTACGCTCTCCTAACGGCGACTTGCGATTCCTCGAAAAAGAATGGGAAAGAAAAAACATGGAAAAAGGAGAAAATTCTGTTGGCGATCGATGTAACAACGTCAGCTTTCCATTGTGTTACAAACTATAACAGAATATACAGAAACAAAGAAAAAAGATATATTCTATGAGCAATTCAAAGAAGATAGAAAAACACTAATTTGATATACAACAAAAAACTTTAAAAACTTATAGAAAACGATTTAAGCATCAAATGTCAATATTCCAGAAAAAAGATTTTTTATCTTCTTCATCTTTATTTTTCCCATCTCTAAGCATAGTCGGTAACTGAAAGAAACATTACTCTCAAATTCTACACTACAACATTCCATTAGCATGACAATACATTTTCTGATAAAAACGAAAATTCTACAAACTTTATATCCCTTCGATTCACTTAACACAAGGAGACTTCTACAACCCTAAACAAAACGACCGATCCACCAGAAAGAAGGTACCAACCGATTCCATTCTATCGCCATCTTTGTTCCAGCGGATCTACCCAGCCGGGTCGCTTAATTGGCAGCGATAGCCAGCCGAAGACAGATTAAAGCGTTGAAAAGGCGTGCACAATCGCGGCACGCTTCAGCCGCGCGTTCGTCCGTTTCGCCCGAGGGAATCGTCGATATCGCGTGATTTAATTTGTTACAATTAGGGCAAGGGTCCCTTAGGTGGGACAGGCGTGTACGGCGCGGCCGTGGAACGGGGAAGGGAGAGAAACCGAAGAGCGCCCGACAGAGAGAGCTAGACCGTTCACCGCGCCCTGCTATTAATATCAGTTAACGACCCGATATGATCGCTTGTCTATACCCGGACAGGCCGCACGACCGGCTGGCTGGAGTCACGGGCACGGGCCATGTGCCACGAGCTACGGTTTTCGACGACCGCCGCCGATTCAGCGCCAAGCTCGATTCCTGTGTTCCCAGCACCGCTGAGTCATCGATTGGAATTCATACGCGATTTCCGGGCCGATCGATCCTCCACCGCTATGTGGATTCTTTGGACGAGGTAGCTAGATTACGTTAGACCGAAAGTGGATGCTAACATCGATAAAGAATACGAATTGTTACTTAGTTGTGGCTGTAGGTGATCACACTGTTTGGTGTAGGTCGGGAAGAAAAGTTTGAGTTGAAACTTGAGTTTTCTAGGAAGATTTAGAGTGAGGGTGGAGGAACTGGGTTGGGCTCTTGGGATTTGAAGATTTGATTTATAAGACTAAGAGTTCTGAATTTAATTGAATTTGGATGTATGATTTGAAGTGGAGTGATTGGAAGTGGATGGGTAGATTGTGGTTAATCTGCAATGGAGAAGAATCTGTGGATTCGAGTAAGGAAGCCCTTGAATTCAAGGATAAAAGGTTGATATGTCTAGAATCCAGGAATCGAAGATTTTAACTTGCTAAACTTAAGGATTCTATTTAGAAATCTGCTGAACTCAGAGACCTAAGCTAGAGCCCTCAAAATTAAGGATCTAATCCTTTCAAGACTTTGAATCTAGAAGTTCCACTTGGATCTCTAGATCTTAAGGATTTGAGACTTGAGTCCCTAGATCCAAAGATTCAGGAGCTACAAAGTTCCTAGTACAGACTCCTAAATCCTCTTTTTCTAAGAAACTAGAGTCTTAGATCCTCAAATCGACTCACCATCAAAATCACATTCTCAAAAGTTCCAAGCTTACAATTCAAGAACCCACCTTCTGCAAAATTTCAACTATCGTATCAGTCTCAAGATTGCAACAAACGACCCTTAATCCACACCAAATCACACTCAGTCGTAAGAAACGAAATCTCTCGATCGAACTGGATTCATTTTATCGTCTTATCCAACGATTCCGTATGCGCGCTGCTCACGGTATCCCTACGTCCGAAAAATCGGAGGCGAGTATGTGCAGCCCCGCGGCTGATAGGAGAAGCGGCCATGGTGCACACGTACCGATAACAATAGACGGGGTTGCGCGGGTGGAAGGAGTGGGGTGGTGGCTGTGGTCTATCTAGCAGGCATCCGGGCCAACGTCGAAACGAGGCTGCCGCGCGCGGATTACCATAAGCATTCATATATGCAGCGGCGCATTATACTTGCATACCCGGCATAAAGGTGGCCGTGTCGGCGGCGCTCGTATTAGGTACACACCAGCCCAGGTACAGCATATATCTAACGGCCGGCTGGCTGGCCAGCGGGCCGGCTACTTACTTACGTGTACCAGCCGCCTTCACGAGTCGCTGGCACGCGAGCCTGATTGACTTGTAGATGAGGCGACACAGTCGATATACGCCGCGGGTCGACCGTCCGACTCTGAAACACCCCCGTCACGGCTAGCGGCCGTTCAATTCTCCTGTGTCCCCTATCGCCGGCTCTATGTCTTGCCCGGTCTCTCCGACAGAAGGTGTGAACGTTCAGGTATCCCCGATAGTCCGTTCGTCGATTAACATATTAAAATCGCCCGTGATTTTGATTGGCGTTTGAAAAAGAGATCAAAATGATATGCTGGAAATTGATGGAAATTGAAAATTATGTACTGACACTTTGCTATTTGAGAGTTTGGAAATGATGAGTGTCAGTTTATGAAAACTTGTGTCCTTAACACTCTAACGACCATGTCAAATTTGCAAAACCATCACCTGTGCCCAACACGTATTTTCACTCACACAATCTAGAAATAGTGTCTCTTGAATTCCCGAGAAAAGTTTCACAAAAATGTCAAGTTTTTCATAGTAAAATCGAAAATATGACAGCGGTCGTATACGCCCGCTCAGGAAGCCGACCGATTACACGGGTAAGTATGCCAGCGGGCGTATACGCCCCCCATGGCCGCTAGAGTGTTAAAATATTTGTATCTTACTAATTACAGTTTGAGTGATTCTTTCCGAAATTTTTCGAAAACTGTCACGCTGGTGCTGAAAATTCTGTTGGGAGTTGAAAATCGGAATTTGAATGTTAGATGTTCGATCCATCGGGAGCTATAATCCTTGTGTTCCTTTCGAAATTTGATTTATCATTAGGGTATAACTCTCCATGCTCCGATTTAGGTGTCTCCGTTTTAAGCAGAGCTAGCTAATCATTAAATCAGTTACACCCTCAGCACTCGGAGCACGTCGAAAGTGTTCTCGAACTTCCGTCGGTCGAGTCTTCAGCCCATCGCCAGTCATGGGAGTTCACCGAAATGGTTGCTCGGTCTTCTGAACC